TATCGGATCATTGTGTACTAATAACATGGACTTGGGATATCTAATGAGAGTATTCGGTGAAACACTCGCATACGGATTGGTGTCTTCTTGTTGACTATGTAACAGGTCTATGAAACCAGAAGACTGACAAAATGGATTCATATCATCCATTTGGTAATGGTTGTGGGTGTTAAAACGAGAAAGAAGAGAACAATAAAAACAATTAGTTTGATGCTCAGTTTACTTAACTCTGCACTTAACTCTATACCTAACATAAAGCAGCAATCAACGATACAACAAACACATTGACCTTTACCTTGATTAACTAGTAGACTCTCCTAAACTACACTCCCATTGCCTTCTCCACTTGCCTTCTCCAATTGACGAGACACCATTTACCCTCAATGTATGAACACTGAAAAAAAAAATGTAATCAATGCTCAGTTTACTTAATTCTGAACATTTACCTTCAGTTAAACGACAACACCATTGCCTTCTCCACTTGCAAAGACTCCATTTACACTCACCAAAAACATAGATAAAGAAATCTGATTAGAATTAATATTACACATTTAAGACTACAAAATGATATTCAAGCAAATAATAGAGATATACAAATCAATATAAAAACTACTTAAAGACTACAAAAAATCTGATTATGCTTTTTTTTTTTTTTTGTAAACCATCTGATTATGCTTTATGATTCAAAAACAGAGTATGATTATCCAAAACTATAAAACAAAATCAAACAAGCTATTCCATATTTCGTCTTCAATCATACCAAGTAACTATATCATAGCCCCCAAATTATTAAAATAACCATAATGTGAATATCCAAAACTATCAACCCTAAATTAAACAATCTATGACAAAATTAATGTTCAATCATACCAAATAACAAACACAAAACCTCCAAATTGATTGTTGCGAAATTTTGCCATATATGCTCAACCAAATCAGCTTTCAATTGTTGATGCATATCTCGATCACGAACTCGATTTCGAATGCCCATCATATTCCCGAGATTTGTAGGCATATATGTAGAATACGTGAAATCCACTTGTGAAGTTCGGTTTGCTTCAACTCGTATGAATTTCAAAACATCAAACTGAGTGTACCCATCTCATTCATCTTCTATTATCATATTGTGAATATAAAATTTAGAATAATGAAATATCCAAGTTTTATATATGAAAAATTGAAATAATTAACTTTTATGTCTTTACTTTTATTTACTTAAATTATTTTTTATCTAATTGTTATTTACCTTTTTCTCAAAAATCATGTTATTTACCAAATTGGTTCTAATTGCTTTTGCTCTTTTTTGTCATCGGAAATTTATTAAAAATTATTGAAAATACATATGTTAGTAGAAAATAATATCTATGGAACTAAGCCAGAAAATACTATTAAAATTATCGGAAACAACAGGTTTAAAAAAGAAAACTTAAAAAAAAAAAAATCCTAGAAAAACTTGAATCAAAACTGTTAAATCCAAATTTTTACCAATTAAATCTTAATCTTATTCAATAATTCTTTTCCAAGATCATTGTTTTCATGTCAATGAAAATCACAAACCGCACCAAAAATTTATGTTCTTCACGTCCTTTGCTTGGTAGTTGGTAGAATTCTAAAATTGAAATATATATTTAGTTACTCCGGCTTGATAGACCTTTCTCTTGAGATTTTGGAACCATCTGTTATTCGTCTACATTGATAACGTCGATATATACTCAACTAAGGTTCGATTGAAAGAAAGCAAAACTTAATTATACCTCGACTGGTGTTAAACTCGAGTGGAGGAAACTTGAAAAGTCGCACAACCACTTCATCTATCACGTAAATGTAAAAGTTGTAGATCGACTGAATGAAAACCAAGACAAAATGTAACCCAAAACAACGGATCACCACCAATCCACCACACAATTTTAAAAACAAAACATATCGACTCTAACTTTTATTTTTTATCCGATAAAATTATATTCCCGTGATATTTAAAATAAAAAATTTTCTAAATAAGGCCTAATTAATATTCCGAAAATTCTTTTATTGCATGTTCACCATTACTAGAATTTTTTTTGTTAATATATACTAAGATGTAGACCATTAATATTCTTAGTAAAATTCATCGTTTTTAGTTTGATGACTTTTAAATTCTATTCAAAATTTCTTATAATGTAAAAATTTTAAAATTCTATTCAAAATTTCTTGCAATGTGAAATTTTTAGTTATCATTGATTCTACAACTCAATTAAAATGCTGTTACTAACATATATAAATTCTGTACAGATTTCCTCATAAAGCAAAACCTTTGAGAAAATCATGGATGTCCATTGGATTTAAAATATTGATAACTAAACTTATAAAATACACAAAACCTCTACAAATTTAATATATTTATCAACTTCTAAAGCCAACCAACTCATGTAAATCCATTTCCTACCAAGTCTCCTTCACTCTCAAACAAAACCGAAACGCAAGAACAGATAATACAAATAATTCGTCGAGATTTTGTAACAAAAAAAAATAATTATAACATCGGATTTCACTCTCAACTTTTAGAATATTTATTCCTAAAACCTATGATGTCGCAGCACTAATTACAAGATCAAAGAGTGCACTGATTTCGACCAAGTTAAGATCACTTGTTGCCGCAGCAAAAGCCAAGGTCCGGCTCAGCCCATTTAACATAAAGCCCACTTAAATAACAAGGCCCACTCATCTGACGCTACGTAGCCCCGGTGTCTTGTGATCGAAGAGAAGATCCCCAAAACTTGCCTTCAACTTTCTCCTTTCCCGTCACTGAAAAACTTCCCTGCAACACTCACAAGATTACATACAAGAGTTTAATCTATTATAGCTTGTAGTTTGAGTTTGAGTTCATTGCTTGTAGAACAGAGTAGACTAAAGAGATTGTTTTGCCTCACCTTTTAAAGCTGGAGTTTCCTTTTCGGCTTGTGCGAAAAAGCTTTTTGCCTTGTGTGCTACTTCCGCTTCAAGAACTGCCTCCAACATTAAATCAGATCCTTTTGCACTCTCTGCAACCAAACATTTGGATAAAAAGTGAGCAGCTTCTGTTTCTAAACTCAAGCTATAAACAAAAATGGTCCAGAACGAAACAAAACATTTCATAACGAAAACACATAAATGCTTTCTACCTTTGCGTTGAGGAAGCAACTTTGCCATCTCAGCTGAAACAGGAAGAACAGGTGAATCACTGCTTAGAGTGTTGGTTTTTCCACTGACCGTCTCAGATAATCGTGCAAATGATGTTGCTTGAGCGTGCAGGTTAACAGAAGCCGAAGACGAGCCACTAAATTCTTGCGCCTTTTATGAACATAAAAAGAGAAAAGTGTGAATTGCACAATTCAATACAAAACAAATGGATCAAGAAGGATTATACCAAAAAAAAAAAAGACCTTTGTATAATGATCTACAGGCTTCTTTCTTTCTTCAACATTAACCGATGTAACATTCCCTACAATAGAACAAAACCAGATAATGAACAACAACAAGAAGAAAAAAAATAGTGACTAGTGAGTGTTTTATATACCATTGGTGGTGCTTGGACTAGGTTCTGGAGTTTGGTTGTCTACTCTTCGAGTCAAAGGACTAGAATCAAATAGAGAAAACCTAGCTCCATGGCTAATCGCGTCTACTTGTGCTCGTAAATCTTGAACTTCTTTCGATATCTAAACCAAGTACTAGAGTATTGTAAGACAACAAGACTTCAAGGAACATGTAAAGCTACCATTCAAATTCACTACACAAGTTCCTTAAGATTCAAGATTCATGAAGAACAACAATAATGTTGAGCTAAAACAATGTTGATCACAAATAAATCAAACCTCTTGCATCTGAGGTTGTTTCATGACACCATCCAAGTGACCACGAGCCATATTGATGTAACCAATGGCTCGTCCGAATAATCTTCCTCCTGCTCTAGCAATAATCGGAAGATCTTTGGGTCCTGAAAATATCCGAAATTCACACTCAAATCATTCGAATTCCAGAGAAATTTGGGGAACACAAAGATCGAAGCTAGTAATGTTTTTCGATTGAAGAGAGACTAACCTACAACAGCAGCTGTGGCACCGAGGATGAGTAAGAGCTCACCGTAAGAAAGCCCAAGCATTGCTTCGTACTCCGATCGTCCTCCGTGTTCCTCTCGCCGTCTCAGGGAAGAAGAGAGATCTTCTCGATTATTCCTTACAAGGCTTATTTGGGCTTCAATTATGTGGGCCTTGAAGCCCATATATTGATATTTTAAAAGCTGATGAGAAATTTGCAAAAATGGCTTGGAATTTTCAGAATTCTTAACATTTATCTCCCATCTTAATAAACCAGTAAACTACGTTGCTGTTACAAAATGAAGAAAAGAAAAGTAGGAAAAAAGGTTAAAAAGTTAGAGCAACAAAAATCAATATTAATGTCAAAAGTTTTTCTCATATATGGATGGAAAAAGTATTGTTAATGACAAATAACATAACTTAGTTGTCTTTTGTTTGAATTTGGAAGACATTGATAGAGGCTGAAATGATGATATCAAATGTTACCTTGTTTTGTTTGGATTTGCTTTGACACTCTTCTATATCGATAACTAGGAAAAGTTCCACGCAATGCGTGGGTAAAATTAATATAGTAAAATATGTAAATATTGTTAGTTAGTTTTCAAATATATAATTAATATAAATATTGTGACTAAGATATATATTGTAAACAAAGCATCTATTACGTCTTATGAATTATTATCTATTGTGTTTAAAATTTGTCACATGAATGCAAATATTAACACATGAATGCAAATCAACACACAAATTAATTTAAAATTGACATAAATTCCCTCATCAGAGTAAAATTTGTATAAGCACGTCATTCATCAGATTTTGTAGGCTCTATATCACCCTCATCCATGTCATTTTCATCGAGATGTAGTCTTGGTTAAGTGGCGTATGGATAGTCTCCCCTTACTTCATTATAAAATAAGTAAGCCAGATTAGCTCATCAAATTGAAAGGAAAATAATGATGGTCACTCCTATAGATTATAGACCTTAATAAGCAAAATATGACATATAATTATCATAATAAGTCAATTATAAACACTTGCCTTGGGTTTAGTAGCCTATTAGAAAGAGAGCGAATTCTTTATTTTTATATATATGATGGCAAATGCTCCAATAAAGTGAGAGCAAAACCAACTTATCGATTATACCTGTTAAACGCAAATTGGTTTTTGATAAGTTAATGATAATATATAAAATATTGTAGAAAATATTTAATTACCAAAAGTACATTGCAATATACTTAATAATTAGGTCAAGTGAATTATTTGTTTTAGAATGTAGAAATAAAGAGAATAATGATACTGGAACATTTTAAGAATAATGTAAGTAAAAGAAAAAAGAGAAAATAATCATAAGAAATATGTCACATGTCATTGAAAAAAAAATCTTATATAATTATAATTAGTTTATCAGAAAATCAGGAGAAACAAATGTTCAATTGTTGTTGTTGTTAGTTCTGGTGATCTCTTTCCTTCGATAAAGCTTCATATGAACTATCTTATTTCTTAGCTTATTTGTAAAGAAGTTAATTGAACACCTAAATAACCTTATCTTTTAGATTCCGTAATTCAAAAATAACTTTAACCGATATAGGAATATCTCTACAAATGTAGAGATGAGGGAGAAGATAAGAAATTTTTACCTTGGGAGGACTTATTAGGATGTAAAACAAGCTCATCAAAGGTTGGGCTATCACACTCCATGTTTTCTGTTAGAATTTCTTTGTATTTGAAATCATTGTTTAGACCATTAGTTCGAGCTCTAGATCCACGAGGTCCAATAGCAATGATCTTCCATTCCGGAAACAAATCAGACTAAAAAATATCATTAAAATTTCCACTAAAAATACACGATAATAATTTAATGTGATACTAAATACAAAAGATATCCTCCATCACTCAAATTATATATATTTAAATATTAAATATATACATTTTAATAGTTAATTATAAATTAATGTTTGATATGATACTATATACAAAATATTATTTACTTATGTTATTATGAAATAAAAGTAACCTTTAAACTCAAAGTAAACGCATAAGCATTCTCTATTCTCATGTTGTCCCCCATAACACATGATTGATGATTTTAAAATTCTAAAAAACTTGTTATATACTTGAAACAAAGAAATCAAAATAATATATAATCATGTTTAACAATATAATATTTATATACAAAAACATAAACATTAGAAAAAGAAGACAACTAAAAGGTTAAAAAGGTAAAATATATATCATATATTACTATTATATGAATCTAATAGACTTCTTATAAATGGTAAATTGCATGTATATTACCTTCAACACCCACAAAATTGAATAAGAAAAAAGTTAGAACTTCAATAGCTATATAAAAATATTGTCATAGAATTTACAAAACGTAATACTTAAAATATGATGGATAGTGGAATGTGAGTTTTGCTATATACAGGAAGTAACTTTACTTTATTATATAAGATTCGATATAAAAAAAATGATCTGAATTTAAATTTTTTGTTATTTTAACTTGATCGGGAAATAAAATAAAATAACCTAAAGTGATAATTTTTCCAACTAATTTTTTTTTACTCTAATTGACTATGTTGATTTATGTCTACTACATTCATATAAACTAAAAATGCATCTTATATTCTTATAATTGCTTCCATTTGGAAACTATATTTTCTTTTTATTGGAGATACATTAGCAAGTGAACTTAAAGAATAAATCACATATTTCGTACGTGCAAATTATTCAGAATAACACATATCTTATGTCAAATAACTAGATTGACTCTGTTTTAAAACGCATAACTAGAATGATCTCGTCTTTTGTAAAAGACATTCTAACCTTTTTTTTAATTATATTAACGAAATTGTCAATTTGCTTTTAAAAAAAAATTAAATGTTTTTTTATTAAATCGATAATACCCAGTATACATTTGAAAATATTTGTATTTTTGAAGTACATTTGAAAAACAAACTTTGTTGATGAATATATTACAAAAAATGCCATTAGTTATAAGGCAAAACAACTAAACACATATAATTAAGGGTATATATATGTAATAGAAAAATACTTATATCCATGTATCCAAATAACTCTTACAACTAATTCTCTATAATCCATATAACCAAACACAATTAAAAGATTTTAACATTAATTATAAAATTAGAAATATATATATAATGTTCCACAAATAATAATATAGATTTTTAGAAGATTTTGTTAAAATTTAAAATTTTGATTTTTATATCATATTAGTTTAACTTATTTTTTATTGCTTTGAATCTCATATAAAACATAAAGTTAATAAAATCTAAATTTTGTTTCTGCATATATTTTTCGAATTTTACAAGACGAACATATACATATATTTCGAATTTTGTTTCTGCATATATTTTTCGAACAAGACAAATAAATAACAAATTGTGTGTTCAACGTCCCACATTGGCTAAAATGTTTAGACAATGATTTAGAGTCATATTATAAATAAGACCAAAATAAATCTAAATCTGAATGAACAGATTAACTTAACAAGTATCTAAATTAAAAAAATTGTATTCAGTTTATTCGATTCATTAGTTGAACTATTTATATATACTGGGTATAATATAATTTAAAATCTTAAAAGTTTAAAATATTATTATTGATATATTTCTACTTAATAAAAATTTTAAAATATTATGAATATTTAAACGTATAAAAAATTAAAATAATATGGGACGAGTTATATGGCGGGTTGAGTTTGAATAGATATTAATAAAAAATATAAAATATCAAAAAACACGGCGCTACAACATAGGTTAAGTAATGTTCTTTTTTTTTTTGTCAACCACACATTAATTAATAAATAATTCCTTGATTGGTTGCCCAATTAGGAGGAGTAGAGTTTACAAAAGTAACTTCAGAAAATAAAAGTCTAGAAGAACGGGCTAAGCAGTCCGCTTGAACATTACATAAACGAGAAATAAGAGAAAGCGAGAAGAAAGGGAAAGAGAGACGGAGAAAACCAAACTCGTCTAGAAGATTGGAGAAAGCAGGCCATTCATCCGGTGAGTGTATCATCGAGACTAACTCCGAGCAGTCTGATTCAAACACCTGACAATCGATCCCTCTTGAAAGGATATTCTTCATAGCCCAAATTAAAGCTTCCATCTCCGAGTGAAGAGGGGAGGGACACCTCCGAAGGCACTTTGCACCGAGCAGTATCGTTTGATCATTTCCTTGAAAACACCACCATCCTATACCCATTGTTGGATCTGAATTTTTCCAAGAACCATCAATCCGACATCTTATAGATTGAACCGGTCGTTCCAAAGTTTCCGTAGTAGAACTAGTTTCGATCGGATCCAACTGATTCTTCCCACATTAATTTTTCACTCAAAGCATGATTTAAAATATCTCTGGGTTCAGATTGTAATCCCTTGAAAACCTTTTTATTCCTATCTTTCCAGATGAACCACAAAATCCAAGCATAACTGAAAGTTTTCTCTCCCCCATCTAGATTAGATGGTAACCTCCAATAAAGATAATCTAGATTTGAGAATTCCGAGGTTAGAGGAAAACTACCTATTGCCGTAGGTATATCTGATAATTCCCATATTTTCTGAGAATGAGTGCACTCAAATAAAGCATGATTTATTGTTTCCTCTGCCATCTCACACCTTTTACAGAGAAAGTCACATTGGATCCCTCGATGTGCTAATTTTGAAGTAACTGCTAGAGATCCCGTAGCAATTTGCCATAAGAAATGTTTTAGTTTTGGAGGGGCTTTGACTTTCCAAGCTTGTGCTTGTAAATTCTTATAATTCGGGCCCCATTCGATCGTTTCTGTCATCTCTCTAGCAACCCGATAGCCTGATTTTACTGTATATCTTCCCGATCTTGTATGATGCCAGATATGCCTATCTGGCTTATAAACTTTGCTAATAGCCAATCCCCTAATAAACTGAATATCCACTGGATCCAAAAATTCTTGTAAAATAGGAAGATGCCATTCTTTAGTAACCGGATTAATTAAATGGTTAACCATCAAACTTGGAAGTAATGTTTTTCCTCTTCCATTTGCGGGCCGTGGGTTAACATCAGGAATCCAAAGATCTCGCCATACCGATAGATTGAAACCCGATCCTAGTGACCATCTAGCTCCCACTTCAACTAATCTTTTAGTAGAAAAAATACTCTTCCATCCAAATGATGGAGAGTTTGGTTTTTTTGCCTGTAAAGGATGAATATTCCTGAAATATCTGCTTTGTAGCACCCGAGCTACTAAAGAGTTCGGATATTGGATTAAACGCCAATATTGTTTAGCCAACATGGCATCATTAAAAATGTCTAGGGAATGAAATCCTAAACCTCCTTCTTATTTATCCTTACACATTTTTTCCCATGCTATCCAATGGATCCCACGATCTCTCCCATTGGAACTCCACCAATAATTAGAAATAGCACTTGTTAACTTAGAAGTTAACTCTTGAGGTAGTTTAAAACAAGACATAACATAGGTTGGTAGTGCCAAAGCCACTGATTTGATCATTGTTTCTTTCCCACCTTTCGACAGAAATTTAGCTGACCAGCCATTAATCCGTTCATTAAGTCTTTCCCGGACATAATTAAAGATTTTACTTTTTGAGCCTCCTAAGCTCTCTGGTATACCCAAATAGGTACCCATGCCACCCTTCTTACTGATTCCAAGGGTGTTTTTAAGTTGATCTCTTTTTTGGTTTGCTACGCGCTTACCAAACATAACCGATGATTTACTGAGATTTATCTCTTGCCCTGAAGCTTTACCATAATTCCCAATAATATCCATCACCGTTTTGCATTGCTCTGAATCCGCTTTACAGAAAAAGAGACTATCATCCGCAAAAAGGAGATGTGAAATTGCTGGGCTTCTTTTCGCTATCTTAATTCCTGTCAGCTTCTTCTCCCTTTCCGCCTTTTTAATATTTGCAATCAGTACCTCCGTACATAAAATAAACAAATAAGGCGATAAGGGATCACCTTGCCGTAAACCTCTACTGGGAATGATATTTCCTCTTGGTTCCCCATTCAATAAAACCTGATACGAGACCGAACTAACACTCCACATGATCCAAGAAACCCAATTAGAATTGAATCCCAACCGTGTCATAATTGCCTCTAAAAAGTCCCATTCTATCCTATCATACGCTTTGCTCATGTCTGTCTTAATTGCCAGGAAATCCGTTCTACACATTCTATTAGTCCGTAAGCCATGAAACATTTCCTGAGCTAATAAGATGTTGTCTGTAATAAGTCTCCCAGAAACGAATGCCGATTGTGTTTCAGAGACTAGCCGAGGTAAAATGTGTTTAAGCCTCAAGCAAAGAATTTTTGAAATTATTTTGTAACTCACATTGCAAAGACTTATTGGCCTAAACTCTGCCATCTTCTGTGGCCTTTCCGTCTTTGGAATTAAACAAATATTTGTTTCATTTATTCTCTTATCAAAACGTCCAGTTCAGAAAAAATCTCTGACCAATCCTACCAAATCTTCCTTTAAAGAATGCCAAAACCTTTGATAAAATAATGCTGTCATACCATCTGGACCTGGTGTCTTTTCTGGATGCATTGAAAATAAAGCTTTCCTAACTTCTGCTTCGGTAACCTCTTTGGTTAGTTCCCTATTCATACTTTCCGTAATAATTGGAGACACTTCATTTACCATCTCAGCAATTCCATTTGTATTGGAGACCTTAAAAAGTTCTTTAAAATAATTAGTTGCTATCTCCTCCATCCCTCTTTCTGATTCCTCCCAAACATCATTAGGTCCATATAGACCTGATATCTTATTTCTTGCCCTTCTTTTTTTTTGTAGAAGCATGAAAGTATTTGGTATTTTTATCCCCCACTTTTAACCAAAAATTTCTGCTCTTTTGTTTCCAATAAATTTCTTCCTCATGATAAGCTTCCTTTAATTTACTTTCGATTCTTTTTATTTCCTCTTGTGGAATCGAGTCATCATTCTTTGCTTCTTCCAAAGCCCTCTTAAGCGAATAGATATTAGCCTGACCCGTGGGAATATTATTTTTCCTCCACCATGAAATGGAATTTCTACAATTCTTTATTTTATCCACAAAAACAGGAATTCTAAAATTTCTTGTTCGATTCCAACCTGAATTTATGGCTTCAGTAAGGCCATCCTTTCCAACCCATCTTTTATCAAATCGAAATTGACGTTTTCTTCTATCCAAAGTTAACATTTTATTATTTTGTTAACACCACCAATATTATAATATTAGACATGTCGAATCAGATTGATTTAATTAAGATTCTGGAATCTCTCATTTACTAGAAAATTGTTGAGTCTCTTGCTTTCTTTTCACTATGTGTCATATGTACATTCAAATCTTCATTTATACGGATAATATATTCTTCATCAATATAGGTATCTTCATGGCTACAAGCTCACCGGACCAATCCCACATGAGCTTGGCAATATGTCACAACTCACATATTTGTAAGATTAAAACTTGAACTCCAATATCTGTTCTATTCAAAACGTATGCTTATCATTTCACAGGAAACTAAATGATAATGAACTAAGACCATAATTATCGGAAGATCATCTTAATGGTGTGCTTAGAATAAAAAAAAAAAAAATAAGACCCAAACCCAAGAACAGGGCCAGGAACAGGTCTTGAGCAAGAACTAAACCCAAGAACTAAACGCACTAGTCCCATTATTTCTTAATTTTAAATTACTAAGATCACACCAACTGTTTTGGCGTTGCATATGCCCTAATGGAAACCATCCCACCTAAGCTTGGGAAGCTAGAACAATTGTTCTAACTGTGAGTTTTTATCCTTGAGTATGCTTTAATTTAAATTATATATGATAAGCTTGTTGATGTAATTTTACCATGTAGGAATCTCACAAACAACAATCTTGTAGGACCGATTCCATCTAACATGTTCTAACGCTTCTCTCAGCTACATCCCAAATTAGAAACACTCATTTAAGCCATGCATCGTATGATAGACCAACAGAAGATGATTGTGACATTTGCAACTAACTGTTCTAACTTACTACTAATAGATTGGCCAACTTTTTCTTTATATTTGGAGAAATTCGTAGAGAGTAGTCCGGTTCTCTTTCCATCCTTGCTTTTGACCATCGATGTCTCCGCTTTCTTCCAAATTCTCTTTGTTCCTCTAATTATTCGAGGAATAATATCTTCGTCACTCTCCTTTTGCTGAAGATGCATGAACAAAGATGGATTCAAGTCTATATCAAATTGGGTGTAACTGGTGGTGAAGCTTCCCCGATGTTGGCGCTTTCCGAAGAAATGTTGAAGCAATTTTCATTTAAATTTCGACAGATTTCGATGCAACTTTCGATTGGATTGGAGATCGGTAAAAGGGAAGAGGATATTTATCGCTCTATGGCTGATTGACGCGTGTGGGTTGAGAAGAACACGACTTTTACATGTTTATCTGTTAATTTTAATTATAATTTTGATTAGGCCCTTATATTTTCGCTTGTATTTCTTTAGTGGGCCTTCTGTACTTGCATTTTGGCCTTTAATTAGAACAAAAAAAACTGTCAATACTTTTTTTTAAAGAAAGAGAGTAGATTTACAAACAATCAAAAGTTCGAAGTCTTGTTTGCAAATTTCCTGAAATAGAAAATAAGTTTATATAATGATATAGCCTTTTAAGAGAAGAACGAATCTACTTCTCATGGACAGACTCTGAAAGCGTAAAAATCAAAGAATGTTTTCTGATTCTTCGCCGGCCGGAAAAAATTCTACAAACTCCGGTGAAACCCTTTACTCCGATTTTCCTTCACTACCCTGAGAAACCAAAAACAAACTTGATCTGAGAATCTTCATCACCACTTTCAGATCCATGAAAACGGATTTGAAAATCCACAATCAGTAAAATCGAAGATCTAGTTATGGATTTCTTAGAGCTAGAAGCGATCGAAGGATTAAGATGGTCATGGAACTCATGGCCAACTACAAAATCCGATTGCGAATCTCTCGTTGTTCCATTAAGTATCATGTATACTCCATTGATGCAATTCTCTGAGCTTCCAACGATTCCTTATGATCCATTGATTTGTTCTCGTTGTGGAGCTGTGTTAAACCCTTACGCTCGTGTTGATTATCAATCTCGAATCTGGTCTTGTCCCTTTTGCTTTCACAAAAACCTTTTCCCTCGTTCTTACTCTGGAATCACTGAAACTAATCTCCCGGCGGAGCTTTTTCCGACTTATAGCGCTGTTGAATACTCTCCGCCGCTGCCGCGTAAGTCGGGTTCAGCGACGACGACTCCGACTGCTGGTGGGAGTTGGAGTAATGGGTTTAATCAAGGGCTTAGATCAATGTCTTCGAATTCGTCATTTTCGTCTCTTGCTTCTTCTGTTGGAGGTGGTGGTGGTGTGATTAGTGAGCTTGGACCTGCGTTTGTGTTTGTTGTTGATGCGTCTATGGTGGAGGATGAGTTAAGAGCTGTGAGAAGTGAGCTTTTGTTTGTGATTGAGCAGTTGCCTGAGAATTGTTTGGTGGCTTTGATTACTTTTGATTCTATGGTTAGGGTTTATGATTTGGGTTTCTCTGATTGCTCTAAAGTTGTTGTTTTTCATGGTGAGCGTGATCTTTCTCCAGACCAGGTAAAAACCCTTGAGATTTGGAACTCTGCTTAACATTTCTTGCACAAATGGTGGGATTTGATTTAGTTAGATTCGATAGGAGAATGCAAATGCTTGAGAATCAGTTCCTTTGTGTTCATTTTGAGGATTGTGTTCTCTCCTTATGAGTAGTGTTAAATCATATCGTTTGATGATTATAAGTGTGTTGCATTGTTCATGTGTTGTTGGTTGATTGTTGTGGCGATAGACTTCGCTTCTACGCGTTACTTTAGAGTCGATCCAGTTGTGATTTAGCTCTATGCGTTAAACAAGTACTCTTTCTAGGCTTCGTCATCTTCGTATGCTTCATGTGTCAATAGATTGTTCTTCTTAGATGTATTGAATTTGACAAAGTTTCTTTCTTTTTTAATGGAAAAACATTCATCAGATACAACAATTTCTGGGACTTGGATATTTGAAGCAGCTTCATCATGGAAAGATGTCAGGGATTCGGAAGCAAAGTTTCTTGCTTCCGTTGGTGGAATGTGAGTTTAACTTAACATGTGCGTTTGAAGAAATTGTTCCCTTGGTTGATGTCAAACCGGGTCATCGGCCTCATAGGTCAACCGGTGCTGCGATCTCAACAGCATTGGGACTGCTCGAGGGATGTTCTGTAACCACGGGTTCTCGGATTATGGTTTTCACATCGGGGCTTACTACAAGAGGCCCTGGGATCATTGTGGACTCTGATTTAAGTAATTCGATCAGAACTCACAGAGATATTATCACTGGTCAGGTGTCTTATTACGATAAATCTTGCGGGTTTTACAAGAAACTAGCAAAAAGGCTATGCGATACGTCTGCTGCTCTAGATGTGTTCGCTTGCTCTCTTGACCAAGTTGGAGCAGCGGAAATGAGATATGCAGTGGAAATGTCTGGTGGATTTCTCTTACTGGGAGAAACATTTGAGTCCGAGCAATTCAAAAAATGTCTCAGACATATATTCATCCGCGATGCAGATGGGAACCTGAGTATGTACTTTGATGTGTCTTTAGAAGTTGTGACGACTAAGGATATGAGAATCTGCGGTGCACTCGGTCCAGTTGTGTCGCTAAGACAGAAGAACGATATAGTGAGCGAAACAGAGATTGGTGAAGGCGGAACATATATGTGGAAAACGAGCACTGTCACGAATAAGACATGTGTGTCATTCTTGTTTCATGTGAGCAACGAACAGAATCGAAAACCGCAGCCTGGTTCCGCGTTCTTCATTCAGTTCATTACTCGGTATCGGTATGGAAATGGAGGAATGAGGAAACGGGTTACAACTGTTGCTAGAAGATGGGTTGCTGGAAAATCGCCAGAAATCTCGTCAGGTTTTGATCAAGAAACAGCTGCTTCAGTTATGGCGCGGCTTGCAATTAACCGAGCAGAGGAGTGTTACGCAAGAGACGTTATTAGGTGGTTAGATGATGGTTTAATCCGCTTTGCTTCACGGTTTGGAGATTATATTCAAGAAGATCCATCTTCTTTCAGGTTGACTCCAAACTTCTCCCTTTATCCTCAGTTCATGTTCTATCTACGAAGATCACAGTTTCTTGACGTCTTCAACAATTCCCCGGATGAAACCGGTTTTTTCCGGTTAATGTTAAACCGGGAAGGAGTGGTAAACTCAATCATCATGATTCAACCAACGCTTCTCCGGTATTCATTCGACGGACCGCCAGTTCCAGTCCTCCTCGATATCCGGTCAGTGACTGCAGACGTGATTTTGCTATTCGATTCATACTTCTACGTGGTTATCCACCATGGATCAAAAATCGCCCAATGGAGGAAACTCGAGTATCATAAAGACCCGAGCCACGAGACTTTCCGGAACCTTCTGGAAGCACCCGAAATCGATGCGGCGCAGTTAGTGACTGATAGGATTCCAATGCCACGGATTGTACGGTGTGACCAGCACGGTAGTCAAGCTCGGTTTCTTCTTGCCAAGCTCAATCCTTCGGTAACTCAGAAAACAGATCATACCGGTGGTTCAGATATTGTTCTCACTGATGATTTGAGTCTTCAAGATTTCCTAGAAGATTTGCAATCTCTGGCAGTAAAAGGCTGAGAAATGTGGCAGCAAACCTGTAAATTGGTTTGGTTTTGAATCGGTACTGGTAATGGTTTTGACTAGTTGGGTTTCACGAACAATTGATATTGGTATTTTAGTCATCATCTACACCTGTTATTGTTAGGTTTTCTGAATCTTTTTAGATTGAAATGGAAATTCGAAATGTATGATTTGGTTTGGACCTGATTTATTATACAGAAATGTTTTGATCTTTGTGAACACTACTGTAATTGTTTTAGCGCAAGCTAGCCATAAAAATAAGCCTAAAAATAATTCTCCATTACGGTCGTGGTCGCTAGTAACCGGGAAATATGAAAAGGGATCTCAACCGGAAAGTACCGATAATTTTAAGTAACCGGTTCGAAGCATTTTTGGGCCGTTATAATGGGCCGAGAACCATATCGCGTGTTCGAAACGCGCCGATGACACAAAAAGCCAATAAATTCTCGGGGGAAAATTGGTGAACTTCAACGGAAACCCCAAATTCCAGAATCCCCAAATCGAGAGGTTAAAGAAACTTCGATTTTGATCTTTTCTTGAAGTGATCGGCAAGAGATGACGGTGGACGGTGACGGAACTGTTGGAGGTGGAGATAATCAACCACCGGTGACTACTGCGGCGGCGACAACAGAGATGCCTATCCCGAGGCTGAGTCTTCTTCCTAACAACGACCACATTTCTGATAGCTACGAAGATCTGGAACTGGAATTTACCTCTTCCGTATTAAGATCGATAGAGAAGTACTTGCGGATGGATAAGCTCACAGCGAACAGAGAAGAGAAGGCTAAATTCATATCAGACATTTTGCGCAAAAAGTGTTCCAAAGTAATTTCTAATTTCTCTCTTTTTGATCCCAATCTGTGAGAATTGAAATCGGAATTGATTCTTGTTAGTTTCTTGAAATTACGATGATGATCTTGTGAAGACATAGAATAGTTTCATGTCTGTAAAATGTTGCAGGCTAAACAGTACAAGAACTATAGGGAGAAGATAATATCCAATTATCAGGTGAGGAGCTTTTGCTCGTCTCTTATTTTGTTTTCTTGATGCAATTGTTTGAAATGTTTCCTTTTTCTGCAGCCACGTTTCAGGGAGTTGTATAAACTTGATCCCGAATCGTTTTTGCTTCCTACTTTCCGGAAGGCGATCAGCGAAAACACAGAGGAAAGCTTCAGACGTATCATTTCTGAACCGTTTCCTGGTGTTTTCGTCTTTGAAATGTTTCAGCCTGACTTCTTTGAGAAATTGCTAGCTGAGGTAATAATAACTTGCCATTTATTCTCTGCGGTGCTCTTACCTCTTTGTTTACGTTTTGTTCATTTGCTACTGTTTGATTTTATCAGGTAGAGAATTTCAGAAAGTGGGCTCATGAGACAAAGTTGAAGATCATGAGACCAAACAAAATGAGTAAATTCGGTGTTGTGCTTGACGACTTTGGCCTGCATATCATGCTTAAACAACTCATGGAGGATTTTATCTTTCCTATTTGCAAAGGCAAGGATATATTTTACTTAAAACCCATTAGAAAGACTTTTATTAACTTCACTCTGTTGTTTTGCAGTATTCTTCCCTAAAGAGTGTGGAGCAATGTTTGACTCTCAACGTGGATCTTTTATTGAAAATGGTGAAGATAGGAATGCTGAATTAGGTGAGGTTTCTGATATTACTTGAGAAAACCAGAGTGAATTCTTCAATAGCAAACATTAAACTGGTTTAGTATAAGTAGTGATCTTTTAAATCTGCAGGCTTACATGTGGAAGATTCAGAAATAACATTGAATGTTTGTTTAAGTAAACAAGGTGAGGGAGGGGAAATATTTTTCGAAGGCACACGATGCAAGAAACATATGGATATAGATCCAAAGCCAGAGGTATGTGAGTCCTTTTGAGTACTTTTTTTTTGTCCTGTTACATTCCTATATTCAGTAAATGGCAAAATGGTTAAGTAATAAAGGAACCAATTATTTCTCACTGACGCAGGAACGTTTTGATTACTGTCATATACCGGGTCAAGCTATACTTCACCGTGGCTGCCACGTCCATGGTGCCAGAGCAGCCACAACATCTGGTCGTCGGGCCAATATGATTCTTTGGTGCAGAAAGTAAGCAATCATGAAGCTTGCCTCAGGATTTCAGAGCACAACTAAATCACCTTTTCTTCTGCTTTTCCATTTGCAGCTCTTTGTTCAGAGAGATGCAAACTTATGAGAAGGAATTCCGAGACTGGTGCGGTCAATGCGTCCATGAAAAGAAAGAAAAGGAAAGCCAGTGTCTTGCTGCCAAAAGAAAGGTTAAAAAAAAGAAAAGACATGATTTTGGAAAAGTTTATATACAGTAAGATGTTTGGTTTGAGCATGGTTATGAACCTGTGGGGGTCCTTATTGCAGGAGATGATTAGGATAATAGAGTGAAGCCGAAGCTCGATGAAAAAACTGAAGTTTATGCTTTGAATATTGACTCTTTACTTGAAAAAGAAAAACTGAGTATATGTAGAATCATTTGATGTAAATAGGTCTTTGCATCTTCGATTTTCTTACATGAAAGTTACCAGTTATACATGTTAAAACCAGGAAATATAGTAGCACGAGAGTTTAGCATTTTGGGCACATACACAACAATTATTGGAAACACAACACTTAGATCGTGGATATGCTTGAGTAGGCTGTTTGACTTGCGGTTTTAGAGCCCTTGGTGCAAACAGTAGAACATGCCAGGACACATCGTTGTACCGTTCCATTCACAATTTCACTTACACGGCTAGTTACCAAAAGAAAATTAAAATGGCTTGAGAGGGGTTAAGGCACAACACATCGATGATGCACAACTCAACTTGCAGTATTCATTGACATCATCACTTTGAAGCAAAAGAGAGAGAGAGAGAAAGAAATCTTGATCCATCTTTTAATAAATAACGTAATTGTTAAAGTTTGACTTAAAATCAAAGTGTAACAATTTGGGTGCTCTACTCAAATGAGCAGAAGAATCCCAGGAGCTGGAGAAAAGTTAACTAAAATTGAAATAGAAAGAAGAGAATTAACTAAAAGTCATGGTTCTCTGGACTTGGTAAATCAAACTCGAGTGAGGGATACTTCACTTGAGTCGAATTATTCTGGATACCGTTGTTTTGTGGATGGATCATGGAAAGGAAGTGATAAGTTCTCCGGTACAGGATGGTTCTGTGCATCGTCAAATGGAGAGCCGCCAACCATGGGAGCTGCGAACCTCCGTAAAAGTCTATCTCCACTACATGCCGAAGTCGAGGCCCTTCTCTGGGCGATGAAGTGTATGATTGGTGCAGATAATCAAGAGGTAGCGTTCTTTACAGACTGTTCAGACCTGGTGAAGATGGTGTCTTCTCCAACCGAATGGCCAGCGTTTTCAGTGTATTTGGAGGAATTTCACAGCGACAAGGAGGAGTTTTCATCTTTTTTTTATCTTTAATTTCTCGTAGGGCTAATGTCAAAGCGGATAAACTGGCACGAAAAGTTCGTACAGAACCGCTTCATATCACATATGTAAACAACATTCCTCAGGAATGACTCTTTTGAGCTCGAATTAATTTTGGATGACAAAAAAAGAAAAGAAGAGAATTAATAATTAGGGAGGGCTGACGTGGCAGGGAGACTTTAAAGGCGATCTAGGGTTTTCGTTACGTGAGTCCCAACCGGATCAGCCACCGGTCTCCTCCATCCTATATGTGGATGTCGGATTCACACACTCAAGTATTTTTATTAATAGGGAAGATTATTCTTGAGGGACAAAAAATAAGAATGTAAAAATCTTATGAATTGCTACAAAAATTGCTATAGTATTTCTTGCTTCGAAAAAAGTTCCTTTTTACATGGCCATTGGCCCCTATATTTATACATAGAAAAACGACATTTAAATGGCTAATTAAATACAATTATTCTCTCTTAAATGCATCCGTTTTGATCTTTGATTTTAATGCTCAACGTTCGAATTTGAGTTGACTCCGATCTTCATGGGCCTCGCCTTTTTTGCCCAAACTGTCCTTGGACCGACTTAACTGCAACTTCATCTCTGGACTCATGTCGAGGTGTAATCACTTCGGATTCTCCTCGTAGTGATAACCACTTCGGCTGTTTCTCCGACTCACGGATCTAATGGGCTTTATCCTTCGTAGGCCGTTACCTTGATTACGTGGCAATCTTTGGTGGGTCCCGGACTACTGGTGCGGGATCCGACACCAACAATTAGCCCCCAAAGTTCTTCGAAGTGCCATTCCAATTCGGAGGACTTTAAATGCTTAAATGACCAAAGATTACGCTCGAGAATCTTTCTGATTTTCCCGCCGAAAATCTCATCACTCCTTTAATTTCGGCACTAGCCATTTTTAACCGAGTGACATCTGTCATCATTATGACCGTATATTGATTAATTACTATTAAAACGGGAAAAAACCCTCCCACTCCCCACACAACTTCTGAGGCGGTTCCATCATTTAGCTTGTGTAAGGTAACTTCTTTTCATCATCACTTTTACTTTTACGCTTTAATCGAAACTCCTCTCTTCTCTTTCCTCGCCGATTTTCTCTTTGCCAAAACTTGAATTTTTCATTCCTCCCAATGACTTCTGATTCTGATAGACCCGAGTCTCCGTCTTTCGATGAGAGGCGTTCTAGTAATGATGAATGCACCCGCCCTAATGATATTGCTGGTCCGCACTACAGAACCACCTGCACCCTTCAATCTCTCAAACGATTGAGGGAGCTCTGCCGAATTCCACCGGGAATTATGGCGGAGGCGCGGATAGCCGATCCCACAGAGTCCCCAGAAAGCCACCGCGACGGCTATTTATGTGTATATGAGATCTATTTTAAAGGTTGCGGGCTGACTTTTCCTCTTCCCGAAGCCCTAGTTTGATACCTAGCGGCTCTTGAAATCGCTCTTCCTCAATTAACCCCCAATCTTCTTCGTATTATCCTTGGAATTATAACAATCGCGGCGGAGGCCGGATACGTTATCGGAGTCACTGAGCTAAATGAGCTTCTAAGCGTGAGAAGTTCATCGAAGAAAACGGGGTATTTCTCAGCATATCCTAACGCCAACAGGAACATCATTTTGCATCTTCCGAACAAGGATGAAAATTGGCATCATCCTTGGTTTCTGATTAAGAAAACTCCCGCTTCGATTGGAAATCTTGCAGATTTTCTCCCTTCGAAGTGGTCTGCGAAACCTGGTATAGATTAGGTCGCCCATATCTTTCCCGGTTGTTTCATTATCTTTATTGACTAAAACCGTTGTTTCATTTCGCAGCTTTCGTCGCTCCGACTCTCCCGTCTGACGCATTCGTTGAATTCTTCAAAATAATTCTCGAAGGGGAAACCCTTTGGAATTCTTTCACTCTTGAACGATTTTTAGAAGCCAACCACAGGCTCAGGATGAGCCCCCCAGGTCAACTTCACCAACTTCCGCCTCCTCCCTCAACTCAGGGAATGTCATCTCGGGCCCTTGCGGCCAAGCGTAAGGTGCTCTCCAAGCCGATAGCTGAGGCTTGTGAGGGGAAGAAAGAGTTTCTTGCGGCTTCTATAGATAAGAAGGACTATAGTAGAACCCTGCTGGTTGATGACGGCAGCTCCGAAGGAGCCAGATCCGTCGCTTCTTTTAGGTTAACTCCTCGTCGCGATCGTCGTGACGCACGTTCTCCTCGGAGGGACCGATCTCCTCGCCGTGATTCACCTCGTCCTCCCCGAGATGATTTTAGCAATGAACCACTTAAGAATTTGGTTCGCAGGAAGAGAGACAAGTCTTCTCGTAGTGATTCTTCCCCGCGAAGGGAGAAGTCAAGGGCCCGGACTGACCGTTCACCTCAATCATCCCCTTCTACTAAACCAATGGGTCCTCCTCGACCGGTTGATATGTCTTTCTCTTCCCAGCCTGACAGCGAAAAGACTGTCCGGAGCGCATCTCCTAAAAAGGGAGATTCTGAATCTCGAGATGCTTCCTCGAGGTCAAAGCCTGTTCTTGTTCCTCAAGTCAACTCTTCCCCCTTCGCAGCTATGGAGAAAGAAGGCAGCGTCTTCCGATGCTTCAAGACCCGATCGGGTTCGATCTTGCTAGACTTCGACAAGTGGCGCCCTACGATTCGTGAACGCTATTTGCTTCATGCTCATCATTCATCTCGGGTTAGTTCCGCTTTATTTTTCCAATTGTGCTGCCGTTTATCGAAATACCTCACCATCTCGATTTCATGCATAATGGCAGGCTAACGGTGAGCTTAATGACATGATTGAACATTATGAGGGGCTGGTCCTTGGTCGGGAAAAGTAGATCGACGCGTGGAAGAAAAAAATTTCTGCTCTTGAGGCTGAACTAAGCTCTTCTACCGGCTCCAAGCACGATCTGGAGGACAAGGTCGACAGTCTAACATCCGAGCTGGTGAAGATTAAGGGGGAGCTGCAGAACCAGTATGACCAAAATTTCAAACTCCAGGATGAGCTTTCTGGTGTTCAGGGTAGGCTTCACGAATCCAAATCAACCGCCGATACCCTGAATAACCAACTCATTGAGCTTAACGCGAAGTACAAGGCGATTGCCAAATTGCATGATTCTGAGTTGGCAAAGTCAGCATCGAAAGCCAGAAAGGAAGTTAAGGGACGCGGGATGGAGTTGATCCAAGGGGCCATCCGCTTCATGCAGACCGAGAAAGCTAGGTCAGATTTGGAATCAGACATCAAGGAGCACGAGAGCAACCTGATTCTGTTGGATCAAATCCATGATACAGATTTCTCCGTGGAGCAAGAAAGGACCGAACTGTCAGCTAATCTTTCTGAATAGCGGAGTCGCTTGGCAGCTCTTCCCACTTCGACCTTCAACCCGCAGGACTTCGAGGAATTCTTCACTGAATCGCCTCCTATAAGTGAATCGGGTCTAGACTGGGCAGGTAATGCTTGGCTCCTGACACTTACTACCTTTTCTCACCTTATGTGTTTTTTTTTTAAAATTGACTGGAACTGTCCTTCCCAGGCTCAAGTGAGGCGGAGGATGTCGTCCCACCCGAAGTTCCTGCTGCACCGGAGGTCACTCCGGAGGATGGTTGTACTGTGGAGGGCGGATCAGGAGCTCCATCTGACCAAGCACCAGCCAAGGAGGCGAATGAAATTTCGACTGCCGAGCCGGAGTCCGATGTGGCTGTCACTCCGTAGTGGCTGTGTCCACTTTAAATTGGGAATTGTCCCATTTATTTTAAAACTTAATTTCGAACTTGTTTTTGCCTAAGGAGGCCTTATTATTTCTTTTGAACAAGATATTGGCATGAGGAGGCTTTTAAACCTTTCTAGGTTTTGACCCCAAGGGGGTTTGGTTAAAATTATGTGCGGGTTTGCAAAGTCCGCTTTTAACCCTTTGTGGCCTTGTGGTTATGCTTTCGAGATTTTTAGGCTGATCAGACCTTTCTCTTAAGAATGCGAGAACTGAGCTCGGCTTAAAGCGAGTTCCCCACTTCGGGTTTAGTCAACTCGTTAAATTTATTGGGCTTGGGCCTTAGACACTTTTGTAATTAATGCGACGGTTTCTCTTTTCCTTCCTATTTCTTGAAA